GTGATTAAAAAGCCGTTTTTCTCAATAAAACAAACCCCGATCCCTTTACCTTTCCGTCTACATATAGCAAGGAGTTATGATTTTCTCAAGACACGGTTTTTATTCTTTAAGGTTAGATAAAAAGACTGAAAATCGACAAGATTTCCTTCAGGAAAACATCGCTCCCGAACACTTCGCCATGAGTGATACTGGAAAGTTCGTATGTTACGCCGAATATATTCGGCGTATAATTTAGTCGACTACGCCAAAATTGGCGTAATTTTGCCTGTTTATTTGGCCATATCAAACTCGCGTGGCGTGAACAGATCATCTCAAAAGTAGTTGGCGTAAAAGTCTAAAATATGTACTTTAATCCAACTTCACAACACGTAAATGTAAAATGTATAAGGATTAGGGAAATTAAGAATTGAATGAAAGTTTCTTTTAATCCTTTATTTATTATTAACGTGTGGACACGGTGATTTAATAACACGATTCGAATTTTGCGCTCGATCGTTATGTCATTACTCCAGGGCTTCCATTTTGAAGAAAATTTCCTTTTTGAAGACAATTTTAACTAGTTGAAGGAAATTATAAGGAAATTCGAATCTGAAGGAAATGTGAAGGAAATTGCCTTATTTCTAAAAAACCCTAAGAATACGGCAATTGCCAAGGAAATGTGGGTTATCATTCCATGTTTCGCGCACCAATATAGGTTAGGGTTAGGGGTTAGGTATCAGGGTTAGGGGTTAGGGTTAGGTTTAAGGTTGGGGTTAGGGTTAGGGTGTGTTATATGTGTATGGATGTATCTAGTGAACTTTTCAGAACACTATAATATCCATTGCATAACGTTTACTATACTGGTGCGCGAAACATGGAACGATTACCGAAATGTGCTTCAAAATATGCTGAAAATCCTGTCCTACGAGATGCAAAATCTGAAAATTTTCTGGGGGAGGACCCCCAGACCCCCCTGGTTATTCTCCTTCGTGTTAATCTATGTAAACATTTTGTCTCTCCCCTTTGATAAATCAGCCCCTTTAACGTCTATGTTTCTTCTAGAACAAGAAATACCCTGTTATTCGAGATAAATTACAGAAATTACTATAAAATCAGTTTTAAATTAGGTAAAATTCAATCATTTTTATTGCAAGGAAATTTTTTCAAAAATAAGGAAATTTTGAACGATTGGAAGGAAATTGTTTTTTGAAAATGGAAGCACTGCATGTACTTTGATCCAACTGTAGAACATGGTTTATATTTCATGTACTTTTGACATTGTCAATGTATTGTAGTTTACAGATAATTATGTTATGTATACTACTATACGTAGTGTATTTTCATATTTTGTTCGGGGGGGGGGGGGGTACAATGTAAATTGTTAAACTCGTAGACTTAATAGACTTCGTCAGTTTAGCCGTTTAGGTCTTTGGCGTAAGAATATCACACGCTTTGGCGTATAAAATTAAGGTAGAAAACAGTCGGCGGAAATATTCGGCGTGTGAATTACGAACTTTCCAGTATGGACGTGCATTGCTTTAACTTTTTTTAAGCTTCTTGTGTTCGTAGATGTTCCGCATTCTGCAGCCCCCGCAAACTAGACATACGCTTTTATTCTTTAATTATAAGCTTCCTGTTTTCAATTTTTTAATTCGAGCTCAAAGAACTTTTTGTTGAATGTTTCACTTCTCTGCTAATTTACATATCGCTTTCAAATATGGCCGTTCAGCTTTAAAGTAAATTGCACTCGCTGGAAGCAAGACAAAGTCTGCCGAAGTATTTAATGTTATGTTGGCTTGGTTTAATTGTCCAACCATCCTGCTTCCCAACCGTTTCCACATTTTGCGATTTACAACGTAGAATAATACCATTTCCGGGTACTTTACACTTTACCGTACCGCAAATATTTGATGGCGTGTGTTCTGACGGTTTTTCCGTTCTTTTATTGGAGTGTTTTGATGGAATTTTGATGGCGTATGTATTCAGTGACTACTCCGGTACGGTAAAGTGTAAAATTTCCCCATTTCCTGTTTATAGCTGAAGCCATATCTTAACACGATAATATTATGTAAATTAAGGAAGTAGAACATATTATCACTTTATTAGATCCGTAACACCTATATAGCCATGACATAATTATGCTCAAAACGTTTTACATATGTCTGGACTAACACCAGCTAAACCGTACACTCACGTCGACCAGTTCAACGAAACATTATCTCAACTTCAGAGATTAAAATGAAGGAAAAGGATTCGCACAACAAAAAGTTTGAATTTTGTCTAATTTTTTTTTCTACAAGTAGGAGCGCAATTAACTAATTTTCACATTCTTGTTTTTTTATGTTTTGCACGATAGGCTGCTTGGCTTTATTCAAATTATGACTATTATGTATATTTTCCTTGCCATTTTACTCTGTTGACTCCGAGCTTGAAGGTTTGTCAGTAAATTGAGAGAAAATAGAATTACATTTTGATTGCCAAAACGATGGAAAAGAACGGCAAAGATGCTGAAACAAGCAAGCATCGTTCATACTTTCTCATGAAAGCACTTTTGCTTGTTTTATGTGTGGTTGTTGCAGTCCAATTTGCTGTGATTGCAAGGAATGTCGTGTCCTTGAAAGCTTTGAACAATAAGTTTAACGCTCTGGAAGAAGAAAAGGTCCTTAAGTCGTTGGAAAGCGAGAATCACGAAAGCAGAACAACGCGAAGCAAACGGGGAACAAAGAACACAGATATTAACAAGGCATTGATAAAACTAGAAAAGCTGGAAGGAAGGTAAAAGGATCTCAGTTTAATTAAAGATAAATCAACTTGTTTACATACCAGGTGAGCTTGTTTCTCTAAGGGTTGCTGAATTCGTAGCGTAATCAACCTCGAGAGCGACTGTACTGATTGATAGGCTTAATCATTGAAATGATTGGAAGGTATAATAGTATAACAAAAAGCTGGTATAACTCAGAAAGTTGAACATCTTTTGAGGTCGACAGTAATGTTAACTACGAGGTTATGTTGAAAATGTGTTTGATCAACACTGTTTTAATTTAGTTTGATCTTGCCTTATGTCCTATATTTGCTTGCTATAAAAATTGAAGCCACCTCGTAATGATCATGATATCATTTCTTGTATTCTTTAATACATATACGAATAATGAAGGGCATTAAAGGGTATGGGCAATGAAAATTACTTCATCTATCTTATTGCTTCATCTGAAAGAGCATGAAAAAATAAGCCGATTGGCCGTTTACTGCTCTATTCTATCTCATCTGGTTCCGAAGTTGCTGATTCAGCACAATGTGTGACGTCATAAGCTGGGTAAGTATGTTTATTGTATAGTAAACTAAAGCATAGCTGAGTTATTATTGGCTCAAATCAAATGAAATTTTGCATACAGATAGTACATGATGAGACGCATGGGAAAATACTTCTAATTTCGTTGTCAAGGCAACACAGTCTTTCCCAGGCCCCTTACACTGATTTTGAATAACTAGTTGCATTTCTCTATGTGTATGTCATTTTCGAATTATTATCATGCAAGTAAACTTTCGGCATGCATGATATTATTTTATTTTTATCAGTACCTTGAATAAAGCTGTTTTATAAAATTGGCGCAAGGGGCCTGGGAACGACATTGTTACCTTGGCAACAAAATTAGAAGTGTTTTTCCATGCGTCTCATCATGTACAATCAGTATCCAAAATTTCATTTGATTTGGGCCCATAATAACTGATCTATGCTTCAGTGTAGTATTCAATGAACATACTTACCCAGCTAATGACGTCACACGTTGTGCTGAATCAGCAATTTATATTTTGCACATTTTAGCAATTTTCATTGCCCATACCCTTTAATGATATAGTTTTACATTAATTTCCTATGTTTAGACTGAATCAGTCGTATCAATATGCGGGTCGTCAACCTGCATTCCTTCTTCGAGGACCTCCAGGAAAGCCAGGAAGAGACGGCACTCCAGGTAGTCCTGAAAAAGCAGGAAGAGATGGCACTCCAGGAATTCAAGGCAATCCAGGAAGTCCAGGGACTCCAGGTAGTTCAGGCAAAGCAGGAAAAGATGGCACTGCCGGAAGTCCAGGAAGAAATGGTAGAGATGGAAGGGATGGTTCACAGGGAGCCCAAGGTATTTTAATATCCGATGTTTATAAAACTTGCATTGGAGTTGTAGACTCGATTCATGTGACTTAAAGTCGCAATTTTTGTTACTTGACTTTGAAAAAATATTTTTCTACAATTTGCACCGGAAATAAACCGATGTACAGTGACTTGTGCAGCCAGACTGTCATATCACACTATGAGTGAGAGTTTGTATAATGTCTAATGTTAATATATACTAAAAATACATGTATGCAGCAACTCCTCGCCTATATTTTCCAAACATTAATTTAACACGGAGTATTAGTAACTGGCCAACATTGAATAAATCAATCATAAAACATGGTCATGCATCTTGCGTCCGCGATTATTGATAAACTTTAGACGCCGCTAATGCTTTCCTTTTCCCGGGTGCAAACAGCCGAGAGAATTATTACCCTCGCTCCGGCCTTCGCCTGGACTCATGCATAATTATCATGGGTGACTCCCCAGTTCAATGTAAAAAGAACTGTACAAAATGACTTGTGAGATAAATTACAACTCGGACTGAATGACTTGTGACTTGACTTGGATTTACAAAATAAGACTTGTTAAAAACTCTGACTCACATCAAGTATTTGATGATTAAAAACAATAGTGGTTGTCATGGCAACGTTAAAATAATATTGGAAAATACTAAAAAAGATCAACCAATAGCTATTTCCAATTTACCCCGTTGTTCGAGTTCTGCGTATAGGTAACTTTCCTAAAACCTGGCTTTTGGTTAGTTGGCAAAGAACACAATACGCTCGTGACGGTGAAGGGCCAGATTTAGGAATAAACGGCGTTTAGATGTAACATAGATAATGAGTTATATTGTTGATTCTAATGAGTTTCCAAACCATCTATTCTATTAACTATGCCCAAGAATAGCCGAGACAACTATTAAATTATTAAAAACGCGAGGTTCGTCTTCGACAAAATCGTGTTTATGGCTTTCAAACTTTGCCAGTTCACGTTTGATAGCTACGGGTTAATAAACTACATAGTTCTTTCCAGTTAATTAACATTGAAAAAATATATCTGGAAAAATATAATGTAAAACAGCAATACACAACAAAAACACACCTTTGGAAAATAAAAAACAAAACTTTTAGTTAGAGCTTGTACTCGCGCATAACGTCCATCACATAATGGAAGACAACTTTGCACTTTACAATTGCCTTGCGAATGAAAGAATATTCGACCTGTATAATCGGAAAAAAGAGATATATTTCCAAATGTCTTTAATTAGCGTAGTTCAGATTATACTACAAAACTCAAGCCTAGATTTTAAGCTATATGTAGTTCCGTATTCCAAATCACTTTCTGAAAAGGTTTTATCAAATGTTTGGCCAACATGGATCTGCGTTCGATTTGATCCACATTTTGCGGCCACACCGGTTCAAAATTCAAACCTTCTGCGTTCTGTTTAACAATTTGATCGACATGACCTGTTTAACCGTATTAATCGCGCCCTAAAATACAGTATTACAGCGTTAATCTATTGCCATATTCAACGACACCATAAATAACGCATAATAGGAAAAAGTTAGGTTTGGTAATTCAAACTGTCAGAGTGTAAAAACAAAAAAATTGAGAATATCCTTCATAAACCCAATGTGCATGCAAGCCTTGCACATGTACTTATAAGGTTCCTATTTTTACGTTTCACCAGGTCAGCCAGGAGTTCCAGGTAAAAGTGGACCAACAGGGCCTCAAGGTCCCAAGGGAATACAAGGTGAATCCGGAAAAGTTGGAGTGACTTATATCCGGTGGGGGAAAAAGACCTGTCCAAATACTGGAGCTACATTGGTCTATGAAGGTAACAATAAAATTGTTTGTATCCTGTCACAGAGGGTGTTCTACCTATATGATTGGAGAGGGGGATATATATATATATATATATATATATATATATATATGCTAAATATAAATTTCAACTTTAGTAGATCAAAACATTAATTTTATATTTTCATCCACGTTTGAACGTGTGTGTCTGTGTGTTTGTCTGTCAGTACGATAACTTAAAAAATATCAAACGTATTAAGGTTACAGGACACCCTTTTTGGCGTTTTGCGGAAAACCTCTACTGCGCGCTCAATATCAGTCCGATTTTCATCAAATTTTCACCAAATGTTCTCCAGTGCATGCAAAATATGGTAAAGTTGTAAAATTAACAAACAATAAAATAATGTAAGAATTATTCAGGAATATCTTAAATCGCGGTACCGTTACGCTTTTGAGTTGTGCTCCTGCTGGTTTTAAGTTATATTTACGAAAATATCATTTTTATACAGTAAAATAGTTGTTCTAAAAAATTGTGTTCGGAAATTTTTGTTTATTTCGTCATTCCGCTGATATGGCGATTTCTTTGACGACTGCAATATATTTCTGAATTGTTTGAGTGAATTGTTCTTTATTTTTAAGATATCCAAAATTAAAAAAAAGCCGAAGACAATTTTGAAACCGAAGTCTTTAGCTATGTCCTGTGAAAATTTGAGAAAAATTGGTTAAAACCCGCAGGAGCACAACTCGTTTGAAAATCAGTAATTACCGTAAAATATTTTGGGAGAAAATTGAATTTGAATATTACATTTTCAATGTTTTTCTTATTGCAGCGAAATGTATTTTATTAAATAACTCTGCGAGTTTTCAAAATTTTTCGTCCAAACTTGCTCAGATAGTAGAACTAGTCTAATGCTTTCATGGAAACCAATAAAAAAAATTTAGGCAAAATTAACACTCAAAGGTGTTCTGTAACCTTAATAGTAAGACAAATGGTGGGATTAATTTAATTTGCATTGTTCGTGAACAGATTTTTTTAAATTTCGATAAAATTGGATGAGAAATTATCTTGTTTTGCCGGACAAGGTAAACTGAATGCGTAATTAGCCGATTGTATAATTTATGCATGATACATAATTTCATTCGCTTGCGGAGGTACACACTACACAGTCTCCAAGTGCCCTTTAGTTTAGTATTGTTTTAAATATGCTAGGTATAGTGCAGAGGTATCCATGCCACCTTTATATTTTGACAAAGCAGTACTCAATTATTTGTTGGTTTTTAGGTTATGTCGGAGGACCGCATTATTCTCACAAGGGTGGTGGTTCAAATTACGTATGTTTGACACGTGATCCCATTTATGAAAAATATGAATCTGGTTTTCAAAACTATCGCTCACGAATTTTTGGGGCAGAATATCAAACATACTCTGCTGGCATATATCCCAGCAGTCTGCACGACCACGATGTTCCATGTGCTGTGTGTCATGTGACCAATCGTGCTTCACAAATGATGATACCAGGTCGTAACGTGTGTTCCACGGGATGGACACGCGAGTATAAAGGATACCTAATGGCGGAAGCTCATATAAATGCCCATCGTACAATGTTGACGTGCATGGATAAAGCTCCTGATTACACTCGAGGAACACACGCTAATCACGATGGCGCTTTGTTTTTTTTTGTCGAAGGAGTGTGTGGCTCACTTCCCTGCAAGCCTTATATCGCAGGGCGTGAACTGACATGCGCAGTATGCACTCGTTAAATACGAACGCATGTTTGTCTTCAGCAATTACTGCAAATCAGTTATTGTCACATAGACAGTTTGTAATCAAAAGCAGCATTTTGTCACACTTTTTAAATTAAGCAAATTATCATATTGATAATAATATTGGTAATAACAATAATGTAATAATATATAACAGATTCAATAACAAGCACACGCAGTCTCGCTTTATGCAAGATAATATGTGGACAATTTAATAACAAAATAATCTATCACTGCTTTTTTAAATCTAGATTGTAACTCACAATTGTAAACGTACTTAGTATTAAAGTCAGAAGAGCTTTCTTATAATTTGGTGTATACGTGGGTTGTTTACCATTTACATGTAAAACCCATCCGGTTTGAAATTGTGCTAATGGTAAGCAAAACTTCGGATAGAAAATCCCATTCGGATTATTCGCTTTCCATTTAATAATTTCAATTGTTAAATCGCGAAGAGCCTGGAACTGGTGAAAAAATTTTAAAAATGTAAATGGAACAACATTTACCGGTTGAAACTTTCCAATCGGTAAGAGAGGACAACCTTTTCAAACAAACCGTTTATTCTGGAAAAGTTCCGGTTGGAATCCGGTTTCCGTATGGAATCACCGGAATTTCCATGTAAATGGTAAACAACCGTGGTTTCATCTACTGAGATCAGTGATGCAACTGGAGTAATATCTTAGTTACCCATGAAACCTAGGAATAGATTAAAGCCCAGATCAAACGAGAATGAATGCCGATGAAAGAAATTCATGATAGCGTTGGGATAGCATTTAGAACAGCTAACCAGATCACGTGATTGCCAACTCTCGTGCACTCTCATGCGTCCTAGTTTGATTCGGGCTTAACTAATACAATTTTTGCAAACAGCTAATGGAGCCACTACACCGATTTCCAGTTTATTGTGTGTTTATTATTCAGGACAATTATGACTGATCGGATGGCTCTTCCAAATGTACAAGAAAACCGTAACTTATTATTGAAGCCAGCGCGACCTAACTATACAGGATTTTCTTTGCTATGCGCTTTGAAATGTGAAGAAAAATCACATGTATCTGTATAATGTATCAATCGCCATTTATCTAAGGACCTTATATTTTTAAATTCTCATCAGGATAAAATGTTAGTTTCGAAATTCAAAATTGTTATGATGCATTTGGTTTCGAACTATGTTTCGATTATGTTGTTTCATGAATTCATATAATCGTGATTTTTTGCACACTGAAAACCCAGCGAGACTACCTTTCCTTCCATACAAAATTCGCAAAACCATTGACGTTCCAATTCTCGAGTAAAATTCGCAGTATTCTAATAAAACTAATTACATCGTCATCGAAGCGACGTGCATTGCTTTAAGCTTCTTGTGTTCATAAATGTTTTGCATTCTGCAGCCCCCGCAAACTGGACATACGCTTTTATTCTTTAAACTTCCTGTTTTCAAAGTTTGAATTCGAGCTCAAATAACTTTTTGCTGAATGCTTTACTTCCTTACTAATTTACATATCGCTTTCAAATATGGCTTCAGCTTTAAAATAAATTGCACTCGCTCGAAGCAAGACAAAGTCTGCCGAAGTATTTAATGTTATATTGGCTTAGTTTAAGTTTCCAACCATCCTGCTTTCCAACCATTTCCACATTCTGCGATTTACAACATCGACTATAACATTTCCTATTTACAGTTGAAGCCATATCTTAACACGATATGTAAGTTAAGGAAGTAGAATATATTATTAGATCCGTAACACCTATAGCCATGATATAATTATGCTCAAAAACGTTTTACATATGTCTGGACTAACAACAGCTAAACCGTACACTCATGTCGACAGTCGACCAGTTCAACGAAACATTATCTCAACTTCAGATAATAAAATGAAGGAAAAGGCTTCGCACAATAAAAAGTTCGAATTTTGTCTCAGCCTTTTGTCTACAAAGAGGAGCGCAATTAACCAATTTTCACATTCTTGTTTTTTTCATGTTTTGCACGCTACGCTGCTTAGTATTATTCAAATTATGACTAAGATGTTTATATGTAGGCCAAATGTATATTTTCCATGTCATTTTACACTGTTGACTCAGACCTGAAGGGTTGTCAGTAAATTGAGAAAAAATAGCGATGGAAAAGAACGGTAAAGAACCTGAAACATGCAAGCATCATTCGTCCTTTCTCGTGAAAGCACTTTTGCTTGTCTTATGTGTGGTTGTTGTTGTTCAATTTGCTGTCATTGCGAGGAATATCGTGTCCTTGAAAGCTTTGAACAAGAAGTTTAACGCTCTGGAAGAAGAAAAGGTCTTTAAGTCGTTGGAAAACGAAAATCGCGAACACAGAACAACACGAAGCAAACGGGGAACAGATAACACAGATATTAAGAAGGCATTGATAAAACTAGAAAAGCTGGAAGGAAGGTAGGAGGATCTCAGTTTAAAGATAAATCCGACCGTTTACATAATTAGATAACATGAGAATTTTAGCCTGGTGAGCTTGTTTCTCTAAGGGTTGCTGAATTCTCAGCGTAATCAACCCCGAGAGCGAATGTACTGATTGATAGGCTTAGTCATTTGAAATGATTGAAAGGCATAATGTAACAAAAGGCTGGACTATCTCGGTCAGTTGAGCATCTTTTGAGATAGACGATAATGTTAACTACGAGATTATCATATTGAATAATTGAAAATGTGTTTGATGTTTTAATTAATTTAGTTTTGATCTTGCCTTATATCAGTTCTTGTACTCTTTAATACGTACGAATAATAAAGGCCATAAATGTATAGTTTTACAATAATTTCCTATGTTTAGACTGAATCAGTCGTATCAATATACTGGTCGTCAACCTGCATTCCTTCTTCGAGGACCTCCAGGAAAACCAGGAAGAGATGGCACTGCAGGTAGTTCAGGGAAAGCAGGAAAAGATGGCACTGCGGGAAGTCCAGGAAGAGATGGTAGAGACGGAAGGGATGGTTCACAGGGAGCCCGAGGTATTTCAATTTCCAATGTTTTTAAAACTTACATCAGAGTTGCAGACTCGAGTCATATGACTTGGAGTCACAATTTTTTGACTTGACTTTGAAAATTAACTTTCCTACAATTCGCACCGGAAATTCACCGATATATACAGTGACCTGCGCAGCTACACTGGCATATAACACTGTGAGTGAGAACTTGTTATGTATAATATACTCATTATAGAAAATACATGCATGCAGAAACCCTCGCCTTGCTGACAAAACCATTGTATTTTCCGAACATGAAGTATCTAAAGCAATTGTCATGGTAACACAATAATTTTTAAGAATATTCTTACAAATGAAAAATCGCCTAAAAATAACACTTTTAATTACAAAATTATCAATTTTCCAACATTTATATGTTAGGTATGTTATTATACGTAATATAAGCTTCAATTGAAGGTAAAATTCAACCACAAATGCTTCGCAAAACGTTTTAAAGTGTTCTTTATAAAACTAAACTGCCGCTTTAATAATTAAAATAGCTTTATCGATAAATTTTGAGTTTGCAATAAAATTATTCAAATTCTCGCATGCAAATAACTTTGCCTTCTTTTTTATTTAAATAATTCAATATAATAAAAAAAGGAATCAATATTAGTGATTGGTCATTATTTATGGGGAGGGGGGTTGGGAAATGGGAGGGGGGAGGGAAACGAAGTTTTACCCTTATAAAAACGGGGGTCAAAAACATTTTAACACAGAGAAAGGGGGGGGGCTCATAAAAGTTTTTGAACTGAAATACCATGTCTAGAGTTCTGATTTCTATAATCACAAATAGCAAAAAAGAAGAGTCTGAAAATGCTATTTCCAGCGATCTAGAGACTCAAAATTTCCCAGCTCGGTGGCGCCTCGCGACCGTGGGAGTCGGGCCCACTAAGTTTAACAAGCTTTCTACCGCCTGAGTGACCCAGTTGTGGTGTTTACATAAACATACAATGCAAGTACACTTAACTGATCAGATTTGGTAATGCTCACATTTCAGTTCTAGGGGTGGAAAAATACAAAGAGACCCCCAGACCCCCCTACTAGTACATACGATACCACACCAAACTTTTTGTCACCAACAACCATCTGTCATCTATCCACACTCAATATAGTATGGTCCTTTTTTGTAGATGCCCACCCCCAGACAAGTTCTTAAAAAAACCCTGTGTTCAAATAATTTCGCTGTATGAAGACGGGTCATGGGTTAGGGTTATGGTAGGACAAATGTTGGATTGCAAATCATATATGGTTGAATCATATTCACCTATAAAACATCATGAGCTAGATTAAACAGATTATCCTAATATCTAGTTTTACCTGCAACCCACATCTGTTTCATTGCTGTTAATTTTTCAATCCACACTGGGGGAGGTCAGAAAAGTTTCTACTTTTATGAGGGGGAGGCACAAAAAGTTTGCCTTCAGTCTGGAGGGGGGGGGGTCAAAAAAGTTTTCAATCCTTATTTTCCCCATTTCCCAACCCCCCTCTCCATAAATAATGACCACTCCCTTAGAGATACACTGAAATTATATGCTGTCTTGTTTAGTTGTTTCATATACGCAAAGGCCGTCGGGTTTTAAAACAATTATAAAATCAATATTTAAAACAAACTTACCTTCGTTAACGTCGGCTCCCTTCTTTTAGCCGATTCTTTCGCCCTTTCTTTCTGAGAAAGCTTTTGAAATTTACAAAATCTTGCAAAAATGCGAGCAAAAATGAAATATATTTGCAAGAAATTTATCAATCATCAAATCAAGGAATGTTTGCTATTTCGTTGTCGTCATGCAGTCGTTATAATGCAAACTTTAAATTGGACCAATCAGTGTCCGCTATTCATGACAGTCTGCCGTATTTTTGAGATCAGTGAGGATGACCACCCACGTTGGTCACCCACGCCCGCGATCATTGATGAACTTTAGACTTCGCTAATGCTTTCGTTTCCCCGGGTGTAAATAGCCGGGGGAAATTAGTAACCTCGCACGGCGTTTCGCACCGTCGGCTTGGGGATTAATAGGGACCTTTAGCTAGCAGGACGGCGACGGCTACTAATACAATGAAATTTATGACAGTGTAGGGAAAAAATGCATAATTAAAGGTCTCATGGGAGTTTTAGACGTCGTCCTTGCTCTGTTTACAACAGCAAACCAAAGATTTTCACGTTTTGTACACAACGTCTGCCTTTCAAGCCGCGAGAAGTCGTCCTCGCCAAATTGGCTTAGTAGAAGTCTTCTCAACTATAAACCTCTGTCTTAACCTTCTTAAATTGCAATAAATTCATACAACGGATAATACACGACATGTTGATCTTAAAGTTACTTATTCGAACGAGTTTATTTTGGCGTCGTCGTCGCGTTGCCGTCACCTATTTGCTAAAGGTCCCTATTATACTAGAAATACATGCATGCAGCAACTCCTCGCCTATATTTTCCCAACATTAATTTAACATCAAGTATTTGTCATTGGCCAACACTGAATAATCAACCATCTCAAACTCATTAATAATTCATGAGCAAATTAGCGAATGAACTCACCCTAATTCGTCACATGATTGAGGTTGGATACCGCAAGGAAACACGCTAAAAATCATATACCATCACTGTTGTTAGATGAAACACGGTTTTCATCTAATAACTGAGATCCTAATTACAAATTCAAGTCAAAACACAACAATATACTATAATAATATATATAAGCCAATGAAATGTTTTCGTTTGAGATGTTGTGTAAACAACTCGTTTCTCGTGTTTCATCAGGGGACCAAACACTCGAAAACAATAGGCTAAAACACTCGCGCTTCGCGCTCGTGTTTCATACAGTTTTCTCGTGTTTGGATCCCCTGATGAAACACTCAAACTCGTTGTTTACATATAACATCAAACATGGCCATGCATGCGTCCGCGATTATTGATGAACTTTTAGACCCCGCTAAAGCTTTTCTTTTCACGGGTGTAGACAGCCTCGATAATTAATACCCTCACTCCAGGTTTTCGCCCAGACTCATGGATAATTATCATGGGTGACTCCCCAGTTCATGGTAAAAAGAACTGTGCAATAAATGACTTGTGACTTGGCTTGGATTTACAAAATAGAACTTGTTAACATCTCTGACTTGCATTGTTAAATGAAGATTATATAATTAAACTAAATACTAGAAATACATTCATGCCTTTCTTAATAGATGAAATGTTACCATGACAGCAGAGCCTCTGTTCTCTGGGTAATGAAGTATAGAAATTCCACATCAAGTACTTGATGATTAAAAACAATAGTGGTTGCCATGGTAACGTTAAAATAATATTGGAAAATGTTATTAAAGATAGTTTTTAACCATAAATATCTAGAATGTAGTTTTATGTTATTTGGCTTTCAATACGACAATAGGCTAACATTGAAAACAAGTTCTTTTTGCCGACAGTAGTTTGCTCGAAAATACGTTAAAATATATTTGTTTTATAGGCATTTTTTAGTTATATTTTGATCAAGCCACATTTCCAGCAGGTAAAAAATCGTTATAAATACACATAAAAACACAATGCGCTGGTTTAATTGTCCCAAATGAACAATAATAATATCAGGTTGCATAAAAACATATTATTTATTGAGTTAAAAATTTCGCAGATATGAATAAAATCAGCAACGCAAAGTAAGTACTGTACTACTGTATGGATTTTACTATTGAAATATTCACACTTATACAGGGTGTCCCAAAAAAAAGTGACACTATAGAAATTATCCTATTGTTATAATTTGAATGCCCTAGCACTAAGTTGATCCCACAGGTGCATAAACTTCTGCTTCTGGAATTTAAAATAAAAAAGCAAACCGTTATTAGTGTAATCGTTTTGCTTGACTCGGGCGTTAAAATACTTGGACAAAGCGAAAACGTTTTAAAATGCTTAAATGTAAATATAAACTGTTCATTAAATTCCCAGGCGTGTAATCACGCGCGTTTAAGAGCGGCTTAAGAACAATGAAATAATTTCTATAGTGTCACTTTTTTTTGGGACACCCTGTATATACCTAAACCATAGTTAATAGAATAGATGGTTTGGAAACTCATTAGAGAGACAATTAATATTTAACAATTATTCGCCGAAGGCGAAGTGATTACCGGTGAATATTCACCGTAATCACTGAGCCTGAGGCGAATAATTGTTTTAGTATAAATTTTTAATGTCAATAAAACAAAATATCCGAGTTATCCAACTATTAGTTTAATTAAAATTCAGAAATAAAACTGTTTTCGACCGGTTTACGGTCACTGGGTTTAGTGTTGCAGTGTTTCTTGTACACGCACCTTTCAAAATGGCTTCCTGTGCGACTTTATTGCATTATTACAAAGTTATTTTTCTCGATTTGATAGTTTACGACAGTCTAAAACTTATTTAAAACTCCGAAACATCCACTTCAAACAAATAGCAAAACCCATCCAGACTTTTGGGAAAAACCTTGCCGTGATATTCTTTAAAATCCTATTAATGCTAAACAGAAAATATTTTTAATTCGAAGTCTGGTGAAAGATCGTCATTCCGTTATTGTCTTTATATTCCAAGCTGAAATCGAGAAAAACAACTTCGTAATAAAGCAACAAAGTCACCCAAGAAGCCATTTTGAAAGCGTGTGCGTACAAGAAACACTGCAACACCTGACTCGTCCCCAGTCGTCTTCAAAGGCCTTAAAAGCTGAATTAACTCATAGGATTAACTTGAGATACCCCAGTCGTCTCTAAAGGTCTTGGAAATGGAGCTCGAAAAATTGCTTGAAAATTTAAAACAAAGGCAAAGCAATCAAAGCTGAATTAATTTGAGAATTGAGATATCGCGATTCGTGAGACACGCGCAAATTTTAACTCAAGGTAATCCTATGAGTTAATTCAGCTTTTAAGGCCTTTGAAGACGACTGGGGACGAGTCAGCTGCAACACTATTAGTGAACAGGCCGAAAACAATTTTATTTCTGAAATTTAATTGAACACGAGTGAACTGATATTCGGATATTTTGTTTGATTCATTAAAAATTTATACTAAAACAATTATTCACCTCAAGCTCAGTGATTACGGTGAATATTTACCTCGACTTCGTCTCGGTGAATATTCACCGGTAATCACTTCTATGTTAGCCAACGTTTATTCATAAATATGGCCCTTAGGTTTAATAAAGGTGACATGACACGAATATTTTTATTGTCCCATCTGAAAGAATAGTCAATACTGTAACGTAACTTCTTTTCAAGATTTTCGTTTACATTCTTCCTTGGTGAGATAATTCAGTTTTGTTCACATGCCGATTGCAAACAAATTTACGTCACCGGAGTTTGCAAAACTGATGAGCTACCAAATATTTGATAATTTATGTGTTTTTATCCAACATCATCATTTGGAAAACTGCATATACGTATGCATGCTTTACATTATTCTCAGCATAACGCATTTCAAATTTCAAACAATTTAATCACTTATAAAAGTGATAACCTGACATTTAGGGGCTGATTATACATGGGCCGAGTTGTCCCGCTTTGCCGAGTTGTCCGGGCTAAGCGAGTTGACTTTTGAATTGCGATTACATGCACCGCGCTAACCCGGCTAGCCGGGCTGAAGTAGCTCATTAAGATTTATAATGCTTAACAATTTAATACTCGGTGTTAGAAATCGATTAAAAATGGTGTATTTGTTGTATTTGAGTACTATTTTACCCACTGAATGTTGTTGGTTGAAGTATTTATACTTAGCGCTGATCCCAACAGGTTTATATACTGTTTGTATTCTAACAAAATTGTGTCGCTTCCTATCTAAACCTTGAAAATGTTCATTAATATCATTTTGATGTTATTTGAAGTTTTTTAAACTTATATTTGTACATATAATCGAAATTAAAACATGCATAAGTGTGGTTTTCAGCCCGCTTTGCCGAGCCAACTGGGCAAAAAACGATTACATGGGATGTGTGGGCAATTTCTGCGACGGCTAAGCGAGTTGACTCGGCAAGCTACAGCCGCGGTCCCGGCAAGGCGGGACAACTCGCTTTGCATGTAATCGAAATGTCAAAATAATAGACAATATATATAGGAAGCAGGACAACTCGGCAAAGTGAGTCAACTCGCTTAGCCGGGACAACTCGCCCATGTAATCGGTCCCTTAACGATAACTCATTATGCAAAGTGTGACGTAAATGTGTTTGCGCTGCATATCAAGAAAACTGAATTCTCTCACCAAGGAAGACGTAAACAAAGATGTACAAAAGAAGTTGCTTTCCAGTTTTGACGATTCTTTCAGATGGGGCAATAAAAAATTTCGTGTCATGTCACCTTTAAATTATTAAAAATGTGAGGTTCGTCTTCGACCAAATTCGCGTTTATGCCTTCAAACTTTGTTTCACGGTTGATAGCCAAGGGTTAATTAAACTACATAGTTTTTCCGGTTAAAATCTGAAAAATATACTGTAAAACAGTGAGTCAGAGCTAGTACTCGCGCATGCGCATAACGTCGAAAACCGTCCATCACGTTATCGAGCACAACTTTGGCTCGGGAATGAAAGAATATTGGACATCTATAATTGGAAAAAGAGATATATTTCCACATTTCTTTAATTAGTATGATTCAGATCACACTACAAAACTCAAGTCTACATTTGCAGCTGAGTATTCCAAATCACGTTGAAAAAAAGTTCCTCATTCCGTCGAGGAATAATAATGAATTTCACGATGACATTTGACATTCCAAAATCTGCCTTTATATGCCTCTCATATCCCAAAGCAAAATTACCCCCATTAACAAATTTGATTTTTATTGAAAATGGTTTCCTTAGAATTGGGTTTCAGGGTGCTTTCCAGTATAATATTCAAACTCGTCCGAGTGGAACTTCTATCTCAGTCTGTACTGATGGAAAGATCCGGTACAGGTGTTCTCAAATTTTGCGGCCACAACGGTTCATGATCAAAATCCTAACGTTCTGTGTTCTGTTTAACAACTTGATCGACCTGACCGATCTAACCGTATTAATCACGCCCCTAAAATGTTACAGTGTTATTCTATTGCCATACTCAAGGACAACATAAATAACGCATAATAGTAAAAAGTTAGGTTTGGTAGCCTAAATAAAATAAACTAGAAAATACATGCATGCAGCAACCCCTCGCCTTTCTTAACAGATGAAGTATAAAGATTCCACATAAATTGCTGTAAAACAGCAAAATACGTCCTTTCAAAATGAAAAACAATTACTTTAGACAGAGTTTGTACTCGCGCATGCGCATAACGTCGAAAACCGTCCATGACATAAACAAAATGGAGGACAACTTTGCACTCCGCTATGTTTTCACATACCCGGGTATAATTTGCCGTGCGGAATTAGTACCCTCGCACGGCGCTTCGCGCCGCCGGCTCGGGGATTAACTATGTACTTAGGCAGCGTTTACACTGTACCGTTTTCGTAGCGTCCTCGTATTGTTCGAGAGAACTAGACTATTGTCTTGCGTTCCCTTGAAGATTAAGAACAATGCGAGAACGCTACGAAAACGGTACAGTGTAAACGCTGCCTTAGAAAGCTCCTATTTTTACGTTTTACCAGGTCAGCCAGGAGTTCCAGGTAATAGTGGACCAGCAGGTCCTGAAGGTCCCAAGGGAATACAAGGTGAATCTGGAAAAATTGGAGTGACTTATATCCGCTGGGGGAAAAAGACCTGTCCAAATACTGGAGCTAGATTGGTCTATGAAGGTAACAATGAAACTGTTTGTATCCTGTCACAGAAAATTCTCCACCTATATGAATGGAGAGGGGGAATGTTTATTTGATAAATACAAATTTCAACTTTAGTAGTCAAAATATTGATTTTATCTCCGCCAGGAGGTTATACTTTTGTCCGCGTTTGAACGTGTTTTTGTGTTTTATCTGTCAGTACGATACTCTTTCAAAATATCAAATGTATTAATAAGATAATTGGTGGGACAAATGGACATTGTTCATGGACAAATTGATTAAACTTGTGTTAAATTGCGATGAAAATTGGTTGAGAAATTATCTTGTTTTGCCGGACAAAGTAAACTGAATGCGTAATAGTCCATTGTATAATTTATGCACGATACATAACTTCATTTGCTTGCGGAGATATGCAGCACTCCAAGTGTCCCTTAGGCCCTGTTCACATGAACCCGGGACAGCGTTATGTCTCGGGCCAAGCAATTGTCGCGGGACAAAAATTGTCTCGGCTACTTTTAATGAAAGAATAGTGCTGTTCACATGATATTTTACTTGCCCTGGGACAAGACAATTGACCCGAGTGCCTCGCCTCTGTAGACAGGGACACTCGCCTAGCCGGGACAACTTTTCCTCATGTGAACACTTTGCCCCGGGGCAACTTTGTCCCGGGATAATTAAATTTTTTGGAAAACGATCAAAATCGCGACTAAAATTACATTTAGAGCACGTTGGACTCCACAAAAACTTGTTATTTGATTGAAGATACCATTAGAAATATATAAGTGATGATTCTAATAATATTAAAATAAAATTGTCGCTAATATCATGTTTGAAACCAAGAAGTGTAGCATGCTACTCAAAAAATTTGATCTGGTCAACCAGAAACAATGAATTGAGCACATTTTACTACGGCTGATAATCAACTACGTTCTATTTGTAAATATCATAACATAAAATACGACTTGCGTTTATCAGAATGTTTTTTATTTAGCAAAATTTCACCGTTTCACGTTGGCGGGAATATTTTATGATTCCCGCGTAATGTATTTATAGGCATGACCCGCGCTAGTTTTGTTCATGTAAACAGAAGATATCAGTATCCCGGATCAATGACTTGTCGCGGGGCAGTTGTTTATCCCGGGATCATGTGAACAGGGCCTTAGTTAAATATTTGTGTAAAAATCAATATGGTATAAGTATTGTGCCAAGGTAACAACATTTTGACAATGCAGTATTCAATCTTTTGTTGGTTTTTAGGTTATGTCGGAGGATCTCGTTATTCTCAAAAGGGTGGTGGTTCTAATTACGTATGTTTGACACGTGATCCCATCTATGCAAAATATCAATCTGGTTTTCAAAACGAGCGTTCACGAATCTTTGGCGCTGAGTATCAAACTTTCTCTTCTGGCATATATTCCAGCAGTCTGCACGACCACGATGTTCCTTGTGCAGTGTGTCATGTGACCAAACGTGCTTCACAAATGATGGTACCAGGTCGTAACGTGTGTCCCGCGGGATGGACACGCGAATACAAAGGATACTTGATGGCGGAGAAACACGATACCCATCGTTCAATGTATACATGCGTGGATGAAGCTCCTGATTACACGCGAGGAACACACGCTAATCGTGACGGCACTTTGTTCCTTTTTGTTGAAGGAGAATGTGGCTCACTTCCCTGCAAGCCTTATATCTCTGGGCGTGAGTTGACATGCGCAGTATGCACTCGTTAAATATGAACTTGACACTCCGACAGCTCCATGTCCTACTTTAAGAAAATTATCATATTCATTATAATAATGGTAATGGTAATAACAATGATTAATGTAATAATACGTAACAAACATTGTGTAATAATTTATACGTAACAACCAGTGCACTTTGTCTCCCCTTATGCAATATAACATGTGGACAATTCAATAACCAAATAATCTACCACTGTACCTTTAAATCTAGATTGTAACTCGCAATTGTAACCGTACTTAGTATTAAAGAACAACTTCGTTATCTTGTGGTTTGGTGTATACGTAGTTTCATCTACTGAGCTCAATCATATAACTGTAGTGATATCTTAGTGACCCACTGAACCCAGGAATAGATTAATTTAATGCCCAAGTCAAACGAGAATGAGACTTGATGAATATTGGAAAAACATTTTTAGAAAAGGTCACCATTCAGTTGTCACAGATGTCCTTTAACACTTCTGTGGCATGAGTTTGATAACTGTTTGTACAATTTTTTGCAGCCTAAAGTTTCATGTTGTCTGCGGATGTACATTCTTTGGGGGACACCATTTGCCTCCGGACAAATCGGATTTTTCAGTCATATATGTTAATACAACATGTAAATCAACCAGAGTCACTATCTTGATCATTTTCCGATCATCGGAAAATGATCAAGATAGTGACTCTGATTGATATCGATCTACATATTGTATTAACATATATGGCTGTTGACAGATTAGTCTTTAATATTTGAGCGAGTCATGCTTTGGAAATGACAATAAATTTTTATTGCCCAACAATTGAGCTGTTTTGTTTTGCGTTTAGCCAACCTTTTACTCACTCAAATTTTTGTTTACACAACACTTTTCTTTTCGGTGCCACCCCCCCCCCCTCCCGGTCCCTTATTGTCATGCCCTTATTGACCAGTCCCTTATTGTCATGCAGTCTGATGATCATAGTGAAAGACTAACTAATATACTGTAATTAACTTGGAAATCTACGACTATAGTGGTGTAAACGTAGCTATAAAAATAATGTAACGCACTTATTCAATTGTAAATGTTTTATATCCATGTTTTGCGTGTCATGCCAGACTTTTATGAGTGTCAAGTAAGCGAAGTATATTCTTTCCGTTTCATTCGAGCAGTGAAAGTTGACCGGTATTTTTATATTCAAGGGAAAATAATTTTTTTTTACGAAGTGAAAGTGACTTGTGCTTGTTTTATGTGTGGTTGTAGACTTGCCACAAGTCGACCATTGGGGAGGGAGGGCGCGGGGGAGGGAGCGCGCGACCTGAGCGACGAAGTCGCGAAGTGTGGTTGTCGCGGCTCAATTTGCTGTGATAGCTAACAAGGGTGGGTAGTAGCGAAGTAGTTGTAGTTCGCTACTGTAGCGAACTACAATTTTCAAGTAGCCAGTAGTTTTTGACTACATTTTTAAAACAGTAGCTGTAGTTATAGCGAACTACATTTTGCCCAAAAGTAGCCAAGTAGTTGACTAAAAACAAACAAACAAATCAAACAAACAAATCAAATCGCTATTCGCTACTTTTAAAAATTGTTAACAACTTGATAGAATAGCATGATATTGAGACACGGTCTGCTTAAAATCAATACTCAATAGTCACTGTAGTGATTACAAAAATGTTGCTTTGTGTTTACTGTTGCTACTCGTAAGTCGATTTGTTATAGGTTACATTACAGTCTGAGTTAGTATAGATGCTCCAAATACAGTAAAACTAAAAAATATAGCGTAGCGAAATAGCGAAATAGTTCGCTACATTTTTTAAGCAGTAGCTGCATGTAGTCAGTAACGAACTACCTTTGTTCAAAAGTGGCAGTAGTTGTAGCTGACTACATATTTTTGAAGTAGCTGTAGTTATAGTACCCTGGGTGCCAGAGCCTCCTGTGATAGAAGTGAGGACACGACGAGGAGGCTCTGGTCACACCGAGCATCCAGCCTCACATTGGCGAGTTCAATACTTGAACTCTGTTTGTGATTGGTCTAAATTTATGTGAGCCTTTTTGTTGGTTAACCAATGAGCGTCGGTTAACCAATGAAAAGACTCGCATAAATTTAGACCAATCACAAACAGAGTTCAAATATTGAACTCACCAAAGTGAGGCTGGATGCTCGTGTGACCAGACCCTCCTCGTCGTGTCCTCACTTCTATCACAAGAGGCTCTGGCACCCAGGGTATAGTTATAGCGAACTACAAAAAATTTGTAGTCAACCCACCCTTGATAGCTAAAGGTTTCACTTCCTTGAAAGAGTAACGTGACTGTATTTAATATATTTTGTTTTTTATTACTTAACTCAATGGACCTTTCACCTTTTGACTAAAATTTAGATCTCAACAAGTCTAGACAAAAATTTTATCACAGCTTGAAAGAGCATCACAAAATTAGTAATATTCCAAAGTTTCGTTGCGAAATTTTGTAAAATGCGGATAATATAGCCTTGCGAAGTTTGCAATTTTCAGTCATATTGTGTTACGCGAGGGAAATACATACCCTTTTTCCGAAGGAGATATGTATTTTCCGCGCGTAATACAATATGACTGAAAATTGCAAACTTCACAAGGCTATATTATCCGCATTTTACAACATTTCGCAACGAAACTTTGGAATGTTACTAATTTTGTGATGCTCGTTCAAGCTGTGATGAAATTTTTGTCTAAACTTGTTGAGATCTAAATTTTAGTCAAAAGGTGAAAGGTCCATTGTCGACAACAACTCCCAGTTCGTAAACTAACTCCCCTTAATTAACCCCCCAAAAGTCATGCTTTCAGCCTGAAGTTCAGTTTACTTCCTCTTACAAATGCTTTAATTTAAATAACAGTAATTGAACGCACAGGAAGAAGAAAAGACTTTGAGCTTTAAATCTTTGAGAAGCGAGAGACGCGCACACTGTGTAAGACAGCCGAAATGTAGCAGTCAGAGACAGATAGTAAGAAAGCATTAACAAAGCTAGAAAAGCTGGGAGGAAGGAAGCCTAAATCTAGCCATAATACGCTGTCTACACAACATAAAAACTTTCAGTTCTCAACATGGCAATTCTCAACATGGCAATTTTCAGCAAATTATATTTTTGTAGAACCAACATTAAACAATTTTCAATATTATACCAAGGTCCAAAAATTTGGAATTCCCTTCCTGTTAATGAAAAGATTTCTAACAGTTTGTCATGTTTCAAGAAAAGAACTAATGATCTGCTGTTAATTAAATTAAGTTTGCTTGAACTGGTCATCTTTCGCATCTGCGTTCATCTAATGCATACAGTTGTATCTCCTTTGTAATTATCTTGTCTTATTAAGACTATCTACAACTACTCATAGGTAATAATACGAGGGGACCTCTTCTTCAGTTATAAGCCTTATGGTTTCTTGAGGTCGCCTCGCCACCACCGGAAATTGTACTCAACTGTAATTGGTAGTGATTTTTTATTCCTTGTATACATGTGTAAATAGTTACTGTGTTTATGTATGTTTTCTTGGCAAAAATTTTAAATAAAAATACACCTTTTCGAAAAGTACGTCATCTTGGCTATATATAGAGCCTCGATTACAGGATTGGGACGTTAACTAATCTCACATACATGAAAACGAGGCTTTATAGCCAAAGTGATGTACTTTCTGAAAGGGTGTATTTTCGCCTCAGCTGTCAATGAGTAGTCCATCCCGAGAGCAGCTATACTGTTATCCGAGTTTAGCCATACGATAAATTAAAATGGAGGCTGGCTAGGTAATATTGAACACCTTTTTACGTTGACGGCAATGTTAATTACGTGCGTATCTTACTATCTTGGAAGGCGTTTGATCGATACCGTTTTACAGGGACCGCGGAGCTGGTTGGCTGGCAGGGTTTTAGCCCCACCGATAACTTCTCCGTCATAAGATCTTTTTGTGCGACTGAAACATTAACAGGAAGAAACTCGTGCAAGCAGTCGTTAATTGCCCCACCAATCCGGCAAAATATGCTCCGCTGTCCCTGTTTTAACAATTTGGATTTGATCCTACCTTTTATGATTTCCATGCTTGTTAAACTTAAAGTCTCGTTGGCTAGTTCATGACATCATTTCTGGCACTCTTTAACAACCTACGAAAAATAAAGAACAAATATCTAATCTTATGTTATTATGGCCTCTGTTTAGACTGACCATGCAGTCGTATCAATATGCTAAGCGTCAATGTTTAGTTTTAAAATTACTTCGCCAGTATATATATCCGTCTGATAAAGCACTCCTGCTTGTGCTTTAAATAGCACACATTTTTTCGTTCTCTCAATAATATAACTGTAGCGATATGTTAACATAATAGTCAGGCAGATAGAGGACCAAAATTATGGAAAATTTACCATATCGTGGGACAATTCCATTTTGCCTTCATATTGTGCCCTGAAGGCTAATAAGTACGTTTCTGTATGTTGGCCGCGTTAAAATTTCTTGTGGCCTCCTGCCCACATGTTTTTCTTCGAATTTTGTATTAAACTCTATTACAGTTAAAAAAATGTGAAATTTCAAATACATTTCTAATACAAATGACTTGCATCAATAGAAAGCTAACGAAAAACTACATATGAAACATTTAAATGGTTAGTTGGGATTTTCAAGCGGTTTTCGAGTTATTGCCGTTTCAAATGTGAAAAATAAGCCAAAATCTCGCAAAATTCCTGGGTACTAGTCTGAAAACACGCATTCAACAGCCCATAACTCAAGAAGAACTTGAAAAACCCGGGTAACCGTTTAAATGTCTTATACAGTATGTAGTTTTTTGCAAGCTTTCACATATAAATGTAAGTCATTTGTGTTAGAAATGTATTTGAAATTTCATATTTTTAAACTGTAATAGAGTTTAATACAACATTCGAAGAAAAACGTGTCGGCAGGAGCCCACAAGAAATTTCAACGCGGCCAACATACAGAAACGTACTAACTAGCCTTCAGGGCACAATATGAAGGCAAATTGGAATTGTCCCACGATAACGTTGTCAATTGTAACCGTAGTTATT